TGTACCCACCCCATCCTCCATGGCCACCTCTGTTCCCAGCTGACAGTGTCAGACTAAATATGTCATCTGTGTTCAGTTCCAATGAGTTGGTTTCATCCTTCTCTAAGCTAGCTCGCAGCTGTAAGGGGCTCTGCTTGCTACTTAAAATCATGCTTTGGGTCTGTTCTGTGAAATTGGATGGTTTCTGTGCAATGCCTTGAATTTGGGGGTGGGGTGGCATTGTTGTATCAGTGTTACACTAATATCAAATGTGCATTTGAGTGTTTAGAAATGGGGAGTGAAATAGATCCACAAATATATTTATTAAGTAGATGTGCTGCCGGCAGAAGTAAGGGTGGACACCCGGTAGAGCGTGCATGTCTTCAGTGTGCTGCTAAAACTGTAGGCACCAGTGTTTCTAAATTTTTGTTTCTCTCAAGAGATATTAAGTGGTCCTAAAGGGTGGCTTATAGTAGTCACTCATACCAAAGCTTTCAGTGTTTTAAGATTTTTGTTTGTTTGTTTGTTCTTTAATTCAATTGAGCTATTGGATTTTTAAGTTCACATTTCCTAAAATGAGATTTTCTGGGTTTTATTCCACTTCAACAGTGATTTGGCTCTGTAAAACAGCCATTCCACCATGTTCTGGTGCCCTGGAAAGCATTGGTCTTCCCTCTTTTCTTACCTCCTCATTCCCTCCTTCCTTTCTCCATCCTTCCTTTCTTCATTCCTTCCTTCTTTCCATCCTTCCTTCCCCTCTCTTTCTGTCCTCTCTTTCTGCCTCCTCCTTTCCTTCCTTTCTGTTTTTAACTTATTGAGACAAGAATAACTGGAGAAGCATAACTGGTATGAAAACATACCAAGTAGCTGTGCCAGTTCATAATCAATAAGAATCTAAACACTTAAGCAGAAAACACATCACAGACCTGTGCCGTGGCGAAGCAGCTATTTTTCCTTTGCTATCATCATCAGAAGCTGCATTCTGCCAGAAATCATTTGCTTGAAGCAGCCTCCATATATAAGCCCTATGGGGTCTTGTGATTCAGATTTAGGAATATCAGCCACAGAGGGTCTAAAGGCATTGTGCATTAGTATGTATTGAGACCTCGTTCCAGGTGGCAAGCAGCTGGACTTTCGAAAAATAAAACTTCCAAAATAAATGTGAAGTGCTTGTTCCCAGGCGATAAGTGTTATACTTAATGGAATCATCCTCCAAATGTTATAAATGAGGCAAAAAGGGGAGTTGTGCATATTTAATATATTTGTTTTGTATCTCCTCTAGTCAACAGAATAATGACATTCCTTAACTACTTCTCTTTAACTTGCATGAAGAAAGCACGGTATGTTGCTAAATCTCTTTTCAGCAGCTCTGCGGAGAAACAACTTTAATCCTTGTTAGAAAATTGCCGAGTCTGAGGCTGACAAAGAGCTCATGCCTGTTCCATTGTTAGTGCTCCCGGGCCCCAAGAGCAGAGCCCTTTACAGCTGCGTGGATCCCGCCCGGCTCAGCTGCATTATTTAGGAGCAGAGGTTTGTCAATTTCTATTGACAATGGAGAGAGATTTTCAGGGCCTGTAGCAGTGCTGACACAGTTGGGGATCAATGCCAGCCATTCAGACTGCACCCTCTTTCATTGCTTTGGTTTGTTAATTCAAGACTAAAGGTCCACGGAGGGGGTTCAGGGTGTTTAAGAAAGCTGATGAACTGCGAGCGTTTATGGCCCTGGTGTGGCAATTTCCATAGTCAGTGGCAACTCCTGGCACTGAGGGAGCTGTGCCCTTGTTGACCCTCTTGTTATTAAAAATGCACAAGTGCTGCGCTTCTCAATATTTCCACACTCTTTCATTGTCAATACCACCTTCTGAGCCCTTCAGCTTGTTGCTTGCTCTAAAGATCTTCTTAGATTGGGTTTGAAAACTTCACCTTAAACACTAGATTAGACTGATGTTCTGTTTTCCGTGCTCCTGTTGATTTGTTGAACCTTCCCAGGGCTGGAAAGCAAGTAGCAGCTTGATGGGGAGACGGGCTGCTAATATGATTTACCAGTCTACAGTCATGCACAATAAGTGTGAATAAATACAAGGGTCTCACAGAGTCAACCCTACCCTTTCCTTTCCTTTTCTTTTTGCTTTAAAAGAGATATCTCAAGAAAATGAAGTGAGTGATGCATGCCCTTACAGGAGTTGAATGAACCACAAAAGGAAAAAAGGAGTGCTCTGCTGCTATCATGCACTGCTGTAGAGAAAAAAAAGAATACATACATACATATATATATAATGGAAAAGACATTTCCTGACAAGCTGACTCCACTGTATATTCTCCCTTACAAGCCCCCCCACACACACACACACTTTTGTTTCATGCAAAGCCTTGCTTTGCTTTGACTTGGTGGGGCAAATGAAGCTTACCCCATTTTGGCTCTTTTCAAGATGAAAACAGGGGGACCTACTGTCTTCTCAACCCTTAGAAAAGATGTGTTACCTCCAATATCAGAAATATCAAACTGCAAGAAGTTTCTGTTTGGTGGCTTTGTTGGGGTGTGATGAGGGGTTCAGTTTCATCACAGGCAGGAAAGTGGAGTGGAGTGGTATTGTCATTAGCCCCCTCTTCATGGAGGCTAGGCTGAGCCCTGGGTGCTCAGCCTCTGTTTTCCCTAATCATTCCTTCAACTTAGCCACAATTATTCTCCAGTCTGCCTTGACTTCAATCAAAAGCACACGCACATTCTGAACTGATAGGATAATGTGTCTTGGATGCTTTTCCTCTTAGATCAAGATATTTGCCTTCCAAGGGAGATGATGTGAAAGTAGCTGAAACACTTTCCTTAACTTTTATCTGTCCCTCTTTATTTCTGTAGTTACATTTAGATTATTTTATTCTCAATTTCGTTTTCTCTTATAAGTTGGGTACTATGTAAGAAATGTTAGATTAATAATGTCTGTGTTCTATTAAATATCCTTTTCATTCTAGCATTAGAATAAGCATCATTTACACAAGATGGGAAATCAGGTTAATTTGAAATGAGGATTTTTAAAAACATAAAGGTATATGTTGAGTGGTTTTTAAGGTACTAACCTCATTTCTCTCAGATTTGTGCAACTTACCATGGACTGTAACTGCTGCCTTGCATAACAAGCCTTTATACAACGTATAATATTTTCTCTCCTCCAATAGGAAAGAGAAATTTTCTATCCCATACAAAGAAACTAGAATATTTAAAAGTCTAATCCATTTTGATACCATATTAGGTTCCAAATTATCTGTTAGCATGTGTAGGAGTAAAAGCCTTAGCACTGTATGATAATTCAATATTGCCAATCATACCCAAGTGTTCAGCTACATTAAAATAGAAGCACCTAAGGCTAAGTAATTTGAAATAAGTGACTGTAAAATTAATGTCAGAAATAAAAGGTAGTGTGAATCCATAAAAGATTTTTGAGGTTTCACTTAACAGTTGAAGTTCTCCATCTACTAGCAGTGGGCCTTACAAGAATTTATGAGTATAGGTATCTAAATTTTATAAAATTTTTTAATATATTTTGAGATATGATAAATGGTAAACAAAGTATTCATTAGGAAAGAACAGTAACTATTTAAATCTCAGTCTACTCTGAAATGTAAAATTTGGAATTCAGTAATCTGTGTGGTCATGTTTAATAAATCTGTTCATTTTAATTTGCATGTCACATTTTATGCTTGTGTCTTCAGTAGAGTAACAAGTTATTAGAAATAAATGAAGTGTGCAACTGACTCATTTTTTTACTTGTACTTAAAATATGATGCCATGCTCTGTTAAATTGTCTCACCATTAAATTGTCAATAAATCCAAGTCTGGATGAATTATAGACTTGCAGAATTTAAAATGTCTTAGAAGTTAAATTTTACTGTGTTATATGGAGAAAAACATTTAATATTTTTTAAACCTGTGTTTGGATACTGAAAACACAGGTATATATGTGGTGTGTCTCTGTTTTATATACAAGCAGCACACAGAAATCTCTTTCAAAACATGTCTTTCATTTTGTAAATGCCATATTCATGTTACCTCAATGAGTGGCAGCATTCTTACACCATTACCAACACCTGGCTCTATCATATAATCATCAAACCCCTTAAAATGTCACAACTAATGTCAGATGCCTTTTTAGAAAATAGGAGATCAAAAAATTATTTTTATGATTTTTTCATGATCACTGTACATATATCATACAGAAGCAGGAAATTGCCTCCAAAGAATTTTGTTTTTTTCCCTCAATAAGGTTGTAATAAATGGAAAAATTATGAGACCTCCAAAAATACTTGCAAAGCAACACAGATCTTTTCCTTTCATAATCTGGGTACCAGTGTGTGCTTTGTGATTCTTACAGCATACAAGAATTCCATGTTGACAAGGGCTCCTTCCTGTGATCTGAGTAAATCTTGATTTAGGACTGTTAAAAAACATCTTGGCAATTGCTTCATAACTGATTTGCACAAGGGCATGATCAGGGATCACTGATTAGTAAGTTGTGAATACTTTTCCCCATCCTTCAAAATGTTATTTCTAGGCATTGGCATCTTTACTGACGTTCTAACCCCTGTGCTGAGTTTTCATAGCATGAAGACCAATAGGAAATTTCCCTTTGAACATTATTTACCTGGTGTGTTTGTGTATTTTTTCGCCTGCAGCTTGGCCATCCATTCAGTCCCTTAATATGTATTTATTGCCCATTGTTACTTACAAATTGCAAAGCAGTCTACTAGGCTGAAAGTGCAGAAACACGTTTTCCCATGAATCTGTTACAGCTAAACACTGTAATGCTAATTCATGTAAAGAACAGCCTGGGTCAGCTCAGCAGATTTGCCACCATAACATACAATTCTGTTAACAGGAAATTATAGCATGATTGACTTCAAGTGCTGATCTGTGGTCATTTTGGAGTGCTTCATTACCCTCTCATTAACTGACTCTGTTAAATGAATACTACAGAGATTGTTTTCTTTTTTGTCCCTCTCCCCTCCACCCCCGTCCTTCCTTCCAGCAATGGTACAGCAATTCCATGAAAGTCATTTGTGTGTGGCTGGCTGACAGACTAGACCTACAGCTTCATATTTACCAACTGAAGACGCTCATCAAGATCGTGAAGGTAAATGAAAAGTATTGAAATGTGAATTGCCCTCCCCCCAAGCTGTAAAGACTAGTGGTAAGATACCATCCCATCAGAGAGGAGAAAAAGAAAAAAGAAAAGCTTGCTGTAACTGAGTGGTGAATGTAAGTACTTACAGTGTAAGACAGTGTACATAAATCCCCGCAGCCCATGAACTTGAATGGGGTAGGTCCACAATGATTTTACATTCATTGGGGTAAATATACAGTACATTCCTCAGGCTTATTAGGGTCATGTATTAATCATGAGGACTTTTGAGTTGCACTCTTCAATGAAATGAGGGGCGTGTGTAATTTCATCATGCCCTCCTAGGACATTACACACTGTGACTGCCTTTGGAAGGCTGCCTTTCCTTATATGTAAAAGATGGCCTTTTTTGAATGTTAAGGGTCATCCAAAACTGTTAACACACATTTTACATGCGTTCAACATGACACTTGGACTTTTGCCTATAGGTACTAGCCTATATTTGTCTTTAATGAGTGGGAGCTTTAAAAATAATATATCCAGGGGCTGGAGAAATGGCTCAGAGGTTAAGAGCACTGAGTGCTCTTCCAGAGGTCCTGAGTTAAATTCCCAGCAACCACATGGTGGCTCACAACCGTCTGTTATGAGATCTGGTGCCCTCTTCTGGTGTGCAGATATACATGGAAGCAGAATGTTGTATACATAATAAATAAATAAAACCTTTAAATAATAATAATAATAATAATAATAATAATAATAAATCTATACGGCCGGGCATTGGTGGTGCACACCTTTAATCCCAGCACTCGAGAGGCAGAGGCAGGTGGATCTCTGTGAGTTCAAGGCCAGTTCTGGTCTCCAGAGCGAGTGCCAGGATAGGCTCCAAAGCTACACAGAGAAACCCTGTCTCAAAATAATAATAATAATAATAATAATAATAATAATAATAATAATATCTATTCAACATAATTTTTCACTTTTTTAAAAAAGTTTAACTTTTCTTAAAATGGAAGCAGCATTTTGATATTATAGCTACAAACAAACTGAGAGTCAAGGGTTTCATACAGAAGATCTATACTTCCATTTTGGTGCCATTTATTAGTGGTGTATGTAATATGTCACATATGTATGATTTCACACACACAGTGATTCTCAGTGTGTCATTTTGACCTAAAACTATTAGTCCCTGGGGATTTGTCAGAACTACAGGTCTTTTGGTAACAGCCTAGGGCTGTGGAATCAGGGACTGATGATAAGACCCAGTGATCCAGAGATTAGCAAGCCTCCAGAAGACTCTAATTACACACTGAAGTTTGCAAAGTCACACTAAGTTGCATCTTTAAAAGAAATTTCCATTCGCATTTAAAAATTTTTACCATCATTTTCTTGGTTACTACAGTCTAATTCAAATATAAATTATTTTGTGCTACAGACACACCATTACCACAAGTCAGAACCACAACTGAATTCTGTCCCAGAATGAGATCTGGTCAGTTTGTCTCAAAGGTAGAAAGTGAACTAGGCTGTAACAATAGGAATGATGATCAGTAACAAGTAAAATTATTGCTACCCATGACATTTTGATACTCTAGCCTCTTATTTCATTTAACCAACAAAATACCAAAGCCAGCGGTGGCGGCACACACCTTTAATCCCAGCAGAGATAGGTGGGTGTCTGTGAGTTCGAGGCCAGCCTGGTCTCAGAGCAAGTTCCAGGACTGTTACACAGAGAAACCCTGTCTGGAAAAAAACAAAACCAAACTCCCCTCAATTCCTCTTAGCAGGTGCTACTTACTGTAAGAGCAGAGTATGTATTGTAACATTTGCAGAGTTGGTGGCTTACGTTACTATTATTTCTTCTTTGATTTTATGACGGTAACTTGGACAACCTCAACTGGTTTGTTTTGCATAAAAGACAATCAGAATGTTGTGTTTACCTTACCTATGCATATATCTGTTGATGTCACAATCTATACTGTGATTTAAATGGGGCCAGCTGGCTGTCTTCACCGGCAGCCGTACTTGAAGCTTCTGTCATGCATGTTTGGGATATCAGAAGTCATATATCGTGCCAACCATCCATTGATGGATAGCTAATCTCTCTGATGGGGGAATTAAAATGTTCATTTTTTTTACTTGTCCATCATTTGTTTCCTCAAAGTTATTTCTTTTCTTATATTAATGCATCTTAATAGATAAAGAGAATACACCATTTTTTCAGTTTATTGAAATATAGTTGACAAAAATAGTCTGTAATCCAAGTGTACAACATAAGGATGGTTAATGACATATGCATAAAATATACTGAGAGAATACATCTTCCAATCTTATCAGTGAATACTTTAACATGGAAGAATACTTAATAACTTTGTAAGTATTACAGCAGCATTTTCATTGTACTCTGATCCAATGTTATTTTAAGATAACCTCCATTTATGGCTAAAAATAATGAAAACTAGTAAGTGAAATTAAGTTTTGTAAATGCTCGACTTTATTTTACTTTTACTTTTTTCTGTGCTGCGGATTCAATCTAGGACCTCATTCATATTAGGCAAGCACTCTGTATAACTGAGCTATAGCCCCACTTCATTTCTTATTTTGAGACACTGTCTCACCAAGTTTCCGAAGGTCTGTCTCACAAGCCTGTCTTGAGCACCTAGGGATCATCCTGTCTCAGCTTCCCACAAACAGAGATGGCAGATCTGTGTCACCAGCCCCAGTTCCTAGTTAGCTCTCCACAAACTCAGACAAAGCTTTCCTGACTCATACACTTGAACAGGTCATAAGACTCTATTTAATAACTAAAGTTGTTATTTTCACAGTGAAGAGCAAGGTGAAGTAATTATTTAGCATCCTAAACATTTCCCTTACTTTGAATGTAAATGAACTTAAAACAGTTTCATACTTGGATCCATCAGTTCCTTGGAAATGGTTTTGTCCGTAATAGTGATTTTGCTTATAATAATTATTTTTCAACAGCTTCTAAGAAGGACTAAACAACACACATGTAGAATTTCGAAGGCTGCTAAGTGGCCCTTCTCTCTAGATCATTTGGATTTGGCCTTTGTGTTACAGCAGATCCCTGTGTCCCTACCAGCATCCAGTCAACTTGACTCAGTTCTCCTCCCTTTCCTCACTACTCGCAGGCTTTGCCATTGTGGTAGGCCCAGGAAGATCTGAAAATGATGTGTATGAGAGTCAACTGTGTCCTCTTACACAATTCGATCATTTGTTTAAAAAAAAAAAATCCCAGTAAGACCGACATAAAAACACTAAATTTTGAAATCATGTGTGAAGGTTTAACATCAGAATGATTTCTTTGAGAAGGGGAAAAGCAAAATCTCTAAATAATCGAAATGGCTGTTGATGTATATTCTCCCTAGTAGCCGTAAAACATTGTAAAGCAATTAATATAAATCACCTGATGGTTTTGCTAGGAGAAAGGAAGCAGGCAACACCCTGTGCCAGGCCCTTGTCTTAAGGAAGAGCCAACCATGACCGTGTGGAAGCCTAAGAATGTTCAGGTGTTGGCCACATTTTATGAATTAAGAGTTTGCAAGAATCTGCACAGGCACCTCACCTCCTGGTTGTTACTTTTTAAAATAAAGAAATGTCTGGTCTTTACCATATTGAAATTAGAAAGCCTTTACGACTTCAAATCCATAATATAAGTTTGTCAGGGCAAACTTAACTAATAATTAAACTAAGTCTAAGGGAATCCATTCCAATAAAACCAGATAATAGAGTGTGTCATTACTCATCTTTTAGTGGATAGTTTATTATATGCTTAATACAATTTTAATCTAATTAAAACAACAATAGACTTGAACATAAATATTTGTGGTAATGACACCATATGTGTTAGTTACCACATTTTCTAGGCAAAATTCATACTTCAGAGTTACTTCTCTGGTTTTAAGTATGAATTACGAGTTTGGGTATCATTAAGCTGTGCCACCATAGTGGTACTTATGGATCAGAAGTCTGTTAATGTCTGCATCATAGTAAATTTATTCCGCTTAGAGACTATGAGAATGGTAGACTGCACATGCCTTAAAAGAAGCTATTGAAATAAGTTTCAATAATTTCAACTTAAAGGTGGAAATAGATTTGATCATCTAAAAAAAAAATACCCTCAGAATCTAAATCATACTTGCTGTGGAGACACTGACCCCTGATACCATGCAGCAGTTCTCAGACTTCAACTTAATTTTAGAATTTTAGACATTGGTGTGTTTTTTTTTTAACATGAGTTTATGTCTATCAAATGATCAGATCAGAAAGATTACATTACCCTTCACCCTTACCACTTACATATCACTTCTGAAACTAGTTGAGTCGGAGAACACTGACAGGAGGGTAAATTGAGGCAGCTCCTGACCTTCCACTACCTTGCAGTATTCCTGCTTTTCCCAGAAAGCTGTGGGAAGGGACCAAATGTGCTGAATGAGGAGATAAATATGTGCTTCCTTACCCTTGTGATAAGTGTCCTTCATGCAAATGCTTGGATGCTCTGGGATTTTCTGCTTGTATATGAGTGTTTTGAGCATGTTATGCTGTATTCAACAAAATCACACTACTCTTCAATGTGTTTTCCATCTACTAGGGTTATGATATTGGGCAATGAGATACAATATCCCTCCTGATTTGAGTTCCTTTTGGTTATTAAGTATTTAAAGAAAACTAGCTGCCAATAATCACTTAAAACAATGGCATACTGACATCACCTGACACTTGGGCAATACATTGAGGTCTGTCTGCTTCTGACATCAACTGACACTTGGGTAATCCACTAAAGTCTGTCTGCTTCGGGTTCTAACAAGTAGTAGAGTCATAAAAGATGCTTCTCATTAAAAATATGTTTCAAAATTCCTCCATAGAATGGGGTATCTTCATAAGGTCTTGGTTTCTCCATTTAAATAACTAGACTTCTTTCTCCTCCTTTCAAAATCGATACTACTGCTGCTGTTATTAATATAACAGTCTTCTTTAGTCATATAAAATGTGAAAATAATCACACTTGAAAATAAGGGAAGTTATGGGTTACACATTGTAAATCTCACAGGAAAACATTTTGAAGAATCATTATAGATTGGCCAATGAGATGGATCAGTGTGTAAAAGGTGCTTGCTCTCAAGCCTGACAATTTGAGTTGGTCCCCAAGATCCACAGAGTAGAAGGAAAACCAACTCCAACTAGTTTTCCTCTGACATACACACAGATATGCACACATACACATGATAAATGTGTGCATTTATTTGTAAAACAAAGAAATGTAATTTTAATTCTTTAAAAATAAAAACACCATAGGAAGAAATGATAGCATTGAACTCTATTTTGTATTCAGTCTATAAATCACTGTTCTAACATGTAATATAATGTCTTATTACTTTGCCAAAAATGTATAAATGCTCATTTTATTTTCTTAACCATGAAAACTTTTTCCCAGAGTTACAGTACTTCTGTTCTAAGAACATTTCAAATGAAAAAAGGTAAAAATCTTATAGGCATTTATGTATATAATTTTCTAGTAGCACAACACAAGTAAATACATTTTGTAATTCATAAGTACATAAAATATGAACTTCTTGTACTCATAATATGATTAATTTTATCCTCCAACACCTGCCCCCAAAACTAATATATTTTATAAAATTAAGTATATTTTTCAGTATTAAAGGAAAGACTCCCTGTTGGAAAACCTGAGAAGTCCTTCCTATTAAAAATGCACATAAACATATCATGTTACCTTTGTTACAGACTATTCAGTACTAAACTCAGTGCAATTAGTAATGTTTGGAGAAGGGGCATTAATTTGTCATCTGGTAGTCACAACATTTTGATCTATCCATAAGGACTGTAGCTTGAGTAGCACTATCCAAAGTCACTCATTCTGTTTTCTCCCCAGAAATACACTAGCAAGATGATTGACATGGGCAGCCACAGTTGGAACCCATTAGTGGATTTTCCCCATATTTCTAAAAGGCCATTTGAGTACACAAACATATGTCTGCACATACAGGCATATATGTATGCGCACACATCTAACTAACCAAAGCAAATACTCTGTTCATCTTCTAGAAAACCTATAGGGACTTCCGGTTGCAAGGTGTGTTGGAAGGGACGCTGAACAGTAAGACATATGACACTCTGCACAGACGTTTAACTGTGGAGGAGGCCACAGCCTCAGTTTCAGAAGGAGGAGGACTTCAGGGCATTACCATGAAGGACAGTGATGAAGAAGAAGAAGGCTGATAACGCACAGTTCCACAAAAAGACTGAAGGCCTCAGCATTGCTTTGTGCACCCTGTCCTTGTAATTGTACTCACTGACCAAATAAAAATGCTCACATTTCTTTAGAAAGTGAACTTGGAGATAAAGAGAGAAATGCCAAGTATTTTTTGAAAGAAAACCATATTCATATGTATAGCTTAACCTAAAATTGGTCCTGCTCGTGACTGGGACATGAACTACTTTTGTCTTTTAATTTTGCTTTCTTTCTTTGTTGTTGTTAGTACATTTGGATTTTCTTTTTAATAGTCATATCAAAATTATGTCCTGGGTGTTATTTAAGATATGTGTCTCCTGTGAAACAGCATTGTGAAAAGCCATCCCTGGCCACAGCATCAACTCTATTGTACCTTTGTCAAAATGGTGTGCCTCCCAGTTATAATTTATGTACAATGTTAGTTCTGTAGTTAATTTGCCAGTGTTGTGGTGTGTATAAAGCTTAAGCCTTGTTTTTCATAACTCTGAATTTGTCTGCAGGTGTAATCTTGGACTTCAAAGAGTGCCATGCCCAAATATAGATTAGACTGTCCCCAGGCTTACATCCTGCTCCTTTCTGAACACTCTTTTCATGTGTATGACATGGCTAGGTGTGCTCCCATCCACTTACTGTACTCTACTTCCAAGTGTAACAGCTTGCAGGCAATAAAAATCCATCCAGACATAGCAACTTCTGTGTTCATTAAACTTAAATAGATTAAACGCATTAAAAAATATTTGCAGGATCTCAAACATCCAGCCATCCAGCTCCGTGTTTCTGTTTTATTCCTTGAGGCTTTGTTTTCAATCAAGTAGGCAAAAGTTAAAGACATTGCGCTCTGTACCTGGTAGGCCTACAATCTGATAAAAGAATTATTCCCAGAACACACTTTCACAGCAAAGAAAATGTTAAGTATCTACCCAAATACTGTATATTAATAGTAATAACAATCAATAGCCAGTAGTATTAGTAATCATACTAACAGTAACTAACAACTGGCATGACTGGTAGTAATTCACCTAATGTTTTCTTAATATGATTTTAAAGGACATAGTGTTAATGATTTGAAATTTCCCTGAATCTTTATTTTGTTTTTGTTTTGTTTTTTTGTTGTTGTTGTTCGTTATATACATATATTGACTACTGCACTCATTCTCAGGTAAAGTTTTGTTTGACATGAATTTTGATGTGTTGTCCAGACTGGTCTGGAAGTCCAAGGCTTCCACAAACCCCCTGCCTCAGCCACCTAAGTAGCTATAGGCATACACCAACCACACCTATCTATACTGACAAATAATTTCTTCACCGTCGAAATGAAAGTACTACTGAGTTTACAAAGAGTTATGTGATAAAATACCAGAAATGCCTTGAACTTTCGAACTTGTTTCTCCTGTCATGTCTCATAAATGATGACTAGGGTGATCAGACTGGTCCACAAAACGTGGCTTTATCCACAATTATTATGTAGAAAAATTTGGGCCTGATGTCTGAGTCCTAAAATTAAGATGACATGATAAACATGAAAGAAGACAGTTTCCTCGATAAAAGAGTATCCTTAACTCATGTGACCCTTAACTCCCCAATGGCACCTTCTCAACACAAAATTGCTCTTTCCCTGGAAACCAGTGTGTGTGCATGCGTGCTTGCTTGACATGGGGAATTGTACCCTCAGCCCTATGCATCCTAATGACATAACTACACTGCTGATCTACTCCAGAAGCTCCCTCTTCCAATGAAATCTCCACTTTCTTGATAGTGGTGGTGTCAGTGTAATTGACTCAAGTTGTTCTAAAATGCCCTGATGACCCCTGTCCTCTTAATTCCACCAAAAGTCTTTAAAACGGTAACTGTTGCTTCAAAGGGAAGGTCTGGTTGGCAAGACTCCCAAGCAAGGGGAAAGCAAGTGATGCAGGGCAGACATTACCGGTTGCACCCTTGCCTATGGCACCTCAGCAGAGGGTTGTCTGCAGAGGGTGACACTTAATGCTTCACCCCCTTCTCCCTACCCATTTCGCCCACAGCTAGGACAACAGCAAACCGAGTTGTGGACCTGCTCATGTTTTCACGAGGTCCACTCGCACTGACCTTTGAGCCACAAAACGGTGCGCAAAACGTTTAGAGAAGTAATCAAAAAGGAGAGAAGAGTGCTTCGGTGACTTTTGCCCGGAAATTCTCTTTAACCTAATTAAAAATTTTTCTTGAAATGCCTTAATTGTTCACTGATGCGGGAAGTCCTTGTGCTGGACACCCAAGCAGCTATTAAAGCAAGATCCGTTTCAGACAGTATTATAGTTTTGGAAGTACTTTTAGGAGGAAAAACGAAGAGTTTGAAAACCTTTTGAAGTGGGATCACTCCTCATGAATGTATTTGGGGAAGAGCAGGATGCTGCACTGGGCAGCTGTGTGTGTTGTAAGTGAGGTCAACCGAAGAGAGGTTATGAACCCTTCTGTAAAGCACGGTCATTCAAACATTTATTGGAGAAAGATCGTAACGACGTCCTTTTCCGACAAGAAACAGTGCCACACAGCCCAGAGTAAACCTCTGTGCGTCACCGGCTGTGGGTAGTCCCTGCGTTCACGTATTTTTCCACTTGAATTCCCTTTAGCCGGTGCTCATTGTCCCTGGATCAGGAGAAGAGATTTCCTGCTCCTTTTCTAACGCCCATGCAAAAGGGGTTTTGCCCCGCCCCCTTACGCCCCTCCCGGGTCACGGTCTGGCCTGGAGCAGTCCTCCTTCGCCCCCGATGACCCACAGTGACAAGGGTCCACCGCTTCTTCCAGGTCCCTGGAGTACCAGAGAATCGTTTCCCTCTTTTACCTTGCCTCCTGAAAGGGGCGCTGGGGGCGGTGAATGCTTGCTTGCAGGGACCCCAGGCTACGATATTGACTGCGGCAAGATGCAGAAGGCAGTGGGAAGTCACAGCCCCAGCCTTCCTTACCCTGTGGCCCAGAAAATAGGAAAAGTGCCTCACTGAAGAAGGGATCAGAAGAGGATCTTAGTCACCTTTATTTCTTACTCTCAACACAGAAACGGAAATTTGCCAGTCCAGGTCTCTGAAGGGAGGTCACAGACCTGTGATCCTGTGAGACCCTCACTGTAGCCCAGCAGGTCTCCTCACCTCCGCTCCAAGCCCAAACCCACGACCCAAGAGCAGTCACACCCCACCCCACCCCAAAACCGTAGACAAAGGCAGGTTCCCTCCCCAACTCAGAATGAGGTTATTCCCGGGCTCCCCCACTGTTAGCTGAAGAAGGAATGCGGTTCTGTTTTAAATAATCCTCCAAATGCTGGAGGCTGCAGAGGCTAGTTGCAGACTTCGAACACGGGGTTCGCAAGCCAAAGTGCCTTTCAAACAGGGACTTTACAGTACTTGGTGGCTTTCGGAGAGAGTGTGCACGTGTAGGTACACCTAGAATCCCTGAAGGAAGGTGCATGCCTGTGGTTCCAGCTACTTAGGGAGCTGACTCTGGAGAGGCAGGAGTTGGGGACCAGTCCTGGCTACATAGCAAAATCCTGTCTCTGAATAGAAACTGAAAAAGTACTGAGATATAAATGTATATCCCCGAGTTGGAGCATTATCTTACTGTGTGTGAAGCCTGAGTTCAATCCCTTGTAAGGTAGAGGAAGGTTCCATCTGTCTGTCTGTGTTCTCCCATCCCCCAGGGTCGTTGCCTTCCCCTCCCGCCAGACAGGGTCTCGGTATATAGCTTTGACTGTCCTGGAACTCACTCTGTAGACCAGACTTGCCTTGAGCTCACAGAAATCAACCTGCCTCTGCCTCCCAAGTGCTTGGATTAAAAATTGACTAATTTAAAGGGCTATGGAAAAGTGCACCTGGCAGCAACTTATCCCCCTGGGAAAAGCCCAGCTTTACCGTCAGAAAAATCCGTCTGAATCTGAATATGGTGGACAATACCTTTTCCTCGTGTCTAAGTCCTACAGTCTTGAACAAAATTTTGGGCACTGAATAAGGAAGATTATTCTAAGGATTAGAGTCATGTTAGTACCATTAAGAGGAAAAAAAAAAAAAAAAGTAGGGATCCAACATGGACCAGCAAGTACCACCAGTTTCACAAGTCATTCTGCCTGAGGCTGGCTCAGGTTCCTTTTGGTTCACACTCAACTCTGAACCTCCAGCCCCACACCTGGGATGTTTCTGAACTGGCTAGGATTGTCCAGTTCCAGCTTTGTAAAGGGGACAGGGAGGGAAAGGAGGACTCCCATCATCTAGATGGCCAGGGAGTGTCACAGCAGCTGTGACTGCTGAGGGTGAAGCTAGGGCTGCTGAGCGAGGCAGCTGGAGACACTCACATGGGGAAGGTGGTGTTCTGGGAATCTGAAGTTGGGAGAAGGATGATCCCATCAGTGCCAGGCTGCAAGCTGGAAATCCCAGGCCTGTGACCAATGCAGAAAAGTTCAAGGGAATGTCACGGAGCAAATGGGGGTTCATTGATATTTTTCTAAGTGTAAGAGGATGTTCTGCGTTCTAGAACAAGGTTACAACACAAGCAACCACTTACAAACAGATAAGCAACAGGAGAAAGAGGGAAGGATGAGAGAGAGAGAGAAAGAGAGAGAGAGAGAGAGAGAGAGAGAGAGAGAGAGAGAGAGAGAGAGATCCTCTTCAGTGTTCACCCACAACACACACACTGTGGACTCAGGCATAAGGTGAACATAGAAAGAAGCATTAACAGAGCAACAGGTAGTGTCTGGCTGAGCTAGCACCTAGCCCCAGTGGGTTGCTAAACAAAACAATGACTGTTAAACTGAGGGTATATCTCAGTAATAAAGTACCTCCTTAGCATGCAAAGTACTAAATTAAGTACCAAGTTTTAAAAGGAACAGCAATGGAAAAAACAAAATCCCAAATAAAGACTGCCTTATTGCATAGTTTGTAGTTCAAAAAGATTCCTGAGGCTCTAACAATATTTTAGATCTCAGGATCTAGGAACTTTACTTTTTTTTTTCAAACAAGGTGAGAAAAAAAGTCAAACCATAGCCCTTAGCTATTTTCCCAGACAGTTGTGAGTGTTCACCCACAACACACACACTGTGGACTCAGGCATAAGGTGAACATAGAAAGAAGCATTAACAGAGCAACAGGTAGTGTCTGGCTGAGCTAGCACCTAGCCCCAGTGGGTTGCTAAACAAAACATTTCTAGGAAAACTCAAACATCATTGAGGCCCAGCACCGGGCAGAAGGTACACCCTCTGAGAATCCTTTGCCCTGTTGATGCTGGGACATGGACACGGAGTGGCCCTGCATATGCTACATATTCGCTAAAGAGAAAAACCAGTTTAGGACCAGGGCTATTTTACCTGCAGACCATTCCCTACCCCAGCCATTCCTTTTTAAGAAGCCAACCTATAACTTTCTGAATTCCAGAAGTGGGGACTGAATATCATGATATTTTCAGACGCCCTATACTCTCCAACTTTACAATGAAGGGTCTTGTATTTGTGCGTTTATTTGTAACAGAGAGATAATATCAACAACAACAACAACAAAAAAAAAAAACTTTTAGACTTGTCTCTAATTTCTACCCACCTAGATCACTGACTCTCACTTCCAAGAGGAAGTGGAGAGTTATCTCAACTGAACAGTTGATCTCAAACACCCTCAGATGCAGCAGTTACTCCTCCCAAAGTACAGTCTGTCCTATGTTTGTTTACAAAGCCCATTAACATAGATTCCACCAATGTGTTCCTTCACCAATGTACAACTTCAAAGTGGTACATCAAGCTATTTTAGCATCAATTCACATGGAATCTGATGTGTCTTTTAGCACTCTGCCCTCCACCCCTTGTCCCACAAGTAACACTCTTGGGTGTAACTGAAAGAAAAGAAATTTGTTGCAATCCTGAAGTTTGTTCTTCTGTGCATTTCTTTTGGGCAGCACTAGACAATGCTAACTGTGTCTTTGCAGGAGAGGATGGTGGGGAAAAAGGTGAAGTTTTACGAAGGAGTATCACATAGAAAAAAGATAAAACCCCGGTGGGAATGTAACTCAAAAAGTAGAAAGTGAACGAGGGAGGGGCCAGGTGAGGGATGGTGTGAGAGCAGAGCTTCTGTGAGGTCCCCCTGGCTGAACCTGCTAGAAATTCTTCTAGCTGCTTCAGAGTTACACGGTATGGAAGAAGTTCTTTCACTGTCATTCATTCAGACACTATAGGTTGTTGTCTTTACCTTGTAGGATTCCAAGGTGTGTTCTTTCATAAATGGGATTAGTCTCTGGAAAGTTGATCGACTTCACAAGTGTGCAATTGCTTCATAAGAAGTGAAAACTGCTCTAAGCTACCTGGTATCTTTTTGGAAAGGCTTTGGAGAGAGTTAACTCCTGAGTCTAAAGAAGTGTGTCCCCAGGGATACATACCTGGAGGTGGGAGAAGAGGCCCCCAAGGACAAGAGATGTCCTAGTAGTGAAAAAGAATTTATAAATGTAATCCCTTCCTCTGTTTTTAACATTTCCATATATGTGGCCTAAAAAGCTACCATTGAGATGAAGGGCTATTTTTAAATTGGTTTGTCTGAATAATTTAGAAATGTTTCTGACTTTTAAAACAGTGGTAATAGCTTTTCATACATAAAGCCATCTTCATTTAAAGTCTCTTTTCAATCTTGGTGACTTTCAGGGATGAAAAGGACTTTCTAACGCAGTCACATTTTACAAAGTAAAGGAAAGCACTAACCTCCATTCTGAACCAGGAACTCACACTGTTTGTGGGGCCTGAATCAAGAGGTGTGTGTGTGTGTGTGTGTGTGTGTGTGTGTGTGTGTGTGTGTGTGTGTGATCCCAAATGTTCAGGACAAATTGATGTTGTGGATATTTATGAAGAACATCCTTAAAGGGGAAATGTTACTTCTCTCTTCTGTGGTTAACGGAAGAGTCCAGGCTTCTAAGAGGAGACAGACAGAGTCTAATTCTGCTAAATAGATGCCCAGGATTTGGGGAGGGAGGAATGGGAATGGGTAGTTTTTCAAATAAAATTCGAAGTCCTACAATTTTAATCAAAAATTTGGAAATTAAAATGACTGACACCTCTACTTGGACTAGATGCTAGAGAATGCTGCCAACTCTGCGGATGGATCTATTAGAGAAAAACATAACAGTGAGATGAAGGAGACAGGGAAGGGAGAAGGAAACCATGCCTACTTCAGGCTCCCACGATCAGATCTCCCACATCTAAACAGAGAGAGAGACTCAATACTTCACCCAAGGCTGCAGCCTTGTGCTTTCCAACTGCCTATGGACCCCTGACACAGCTGGAAGGCATAGGGCAGTACCTTCCTAATACAGGGGTACCTCGATCCTGCCATCCATGGTCCAGCTTTTCCTTTTCGGCATTCTATTCAGAACCATTAAGAAGGTGCTGCATTAGGGCTCTGCAGTTTAAGTTCCCAGTGGCATCTAAGTCAAATGGAGAGCTCCCGTGTACACACACACACACACACACACACACACACACACACACACACGGAGGGGGGCTTCTGCTGCTCCAATGTGTTTTGTAGCTGCCCTGCTAACTGGTTCTCTCCTGTATTCAATTCTTAAGTCTGAGCCCTTTTGGCAGTTGTTTCTCTTGATCGTCACTTACTTGAGGGAATGAGAAATTGGAAGTTTCCATTCATATTAAAGGCTAACTACGTTGCTTAAAATAAAGCATCAGCCAAATAAAATGACACTGGAAAGAAAAGACTCCAATTATTACCGCGCTTGCTGCCTTTTGTACAAAACAAATGCTCTTAATTGAAGGAAAAAAGAAAGAAAGAAAGAAAGAAAGAAAGAAAGAAAGAAAAGTCTTTTGCAATTGAGAAATCTAGACCAGCACTATAAAAGCCAATTTCTCTTCCCCTTCTCTCTCTCTTTTTCCTCTCATTCAGCCGTGGTGTGAAAGTTCAGATACTCTGCCTTGTGAGTAAAGAGCTCCAAGAAGCAATAACGTGCCAACACCGGGAACACATCCAGGTCCGCGGTGCGAAAATGAAATATGTGCCATTGAATTATTATTTTTGTCCTTTAGGTTTACATCTACTCCCTTGTATTATGTAAATTTCTGAGAAGCTGTGAATCACAGGGTTAGATAGACCCCCCCTCCCCACACACATACACACATTCGCCTGCTTCACAAGCAGCAGGAGCCGACCTGATTCAGTCACTGAGTGATTCACACAGCCTTGCCCGGTTCTTCCAGCTTTTTACTCTACAGAACTTCCCTTCCCACTCTTGATCCAGACAGCCTTCTGACGCTGCAGGCTGCGGCCCGCACTGGGGAGGAGGGGAGGGGGCGACAGCACAGGCTTTGGTGACGTCAATCTGCCAGCCCTCCGAGGTCACCTGGGGCCAACAAGGAGCTGCTGGAGGTTCTAGGTGTTTCCGGGACCCTGGTCCCTCGGTGAAACTAGTGGCCAGAATTAACCTGAGGGAGTTAAGGGAGATTTCTAGAAAACCAATGAAAAACGCCTCAATTGATTCAGGCTGAGAAGGTATATTTGTTTGTTTTGAAGTTTTCACACTGAATCTCTGTAGACCAGGCTGACTTCGAACTTGCAGTGAGCCTCCTGCCTCCGGCTCTCCAAAGTCAACAAACATGCCCATCCAGCAAGAAGGCAGCAGTCCAAATTGATATTTGAAAAAGTAGTAAACAGCAGCCCTTATTAAAGGACCAAGCTTCTTTCTTCTAGGGATTTCCCTAGAGTGGGTATTGTTAAACTCCAGTAACAAACCCACTCCTGAGGAGGGCGGGGTGAGCGACAACGGATATAGCAGAGTGTCCACTGTCGGTCCACTGCTTTGCAGTGAAAGGTGCTAGAGCTAAGCCCCCTCTGCTCCTGAAGGCTGGAGGTGGTCGCGGGATGATGTCTGGTACCGCTGTCATCTCACATTCAGTGTTAGTGGAGGACTGGGGTTTGGCCAAGGGAAATCAGGACTCAGAATGGCAAATTGAAGCTTATGACTAAAATAGTAAGATGTAAAAGACATTTCATGTTAGGAAAAGTTCTCCTTTTCATTGGAACCGTAGTCAGGCCAATTCCACCAACAAGCCGGTTTCAAAGTAAGGAATAACCCAGACAATAGTGGAGAACACACACACACACACACACACACACACACACACACACACACACACACACACACACACACGGCTGAAAGATTTTTTTCGAGGATATAATGAAAATGTGCTACAGGTACTTTGGAAGACTTTAAGAAAGTGACAGACAAAACTAACAGTAACAATAAAAACAACAACAAAGCTTCCCTTCCTCCTGAGGCCTGCCCTTCAGCCAGGTCTGTTTCCGCCCACCTGACTTGTAGGTTGACTGACCCTTCACTTGCACCCGGAATCGTCAAAGCCAGGCTATTAGTGAGCGTTCAGTTCAAAAACTTTTCAAACTACTTCTCCGCCAACTGTTTCTTGGTCTCGTAAACACAAACCCGCGCCCCCTCCCGAAACTTACAAGCCTCCCCCTCCTTCTTCCAGCCTCCCGGGCTAGCAGAGCGGGGAGGGAGGAGCACGATTGAGCCGGGGAGGGGCTGTAGGGCCAGTGACGGTCCTGAGGCCAGAGTTCGGGACCAGATCGGCCGCTGTCACGCTGGTCTAGCCGACGGTGGGGGCTGTGCCCTGGGGAGGCGCTGCGCGGGTTCAGAGCTGGGCGGGACGCGCACAGTGCTGCGGGCGAGCGGGAAGGTCCGGCAGCCGGCCGCTGGAGACTCGCCCTGGCTCTCCAGTCCCCGCCAAGTCCCACAAGCGGCAGTCCCCAGCTACTCTTAGGCGGTCACATCAGCTCCAACTCTCTCAAACCATGGAGACGTCATTGTAGCTGGGGATGTGTGAGGGAGAACCAAGCAGAGCAGAACACGACAGGGACGAATTTTCAGCTTTCGAATTTTACTTCGGGCTTCTGTTCAAAGGCTGGACTCTGGCAATCGAAGTGTGACCGAGGAGGATCTCTTCTACCCCCACCTCAAGCGACCGGAACACAGGTTCCCTGGGCAGCTGGGGACGGGACCGACCAGACCAGGCGATGGCGGACGCAGGCTAAAACAGCCTGGGGCTGCGGGTCAGCGCAGGGCGTTCCCGGGCCCAAGCGGCTGTGGACAGGAATCCGGGAGGTAACTGAAACCATAAAAGGCTCTGGGGATTTCTGGCTCACGGACGCTGGTTTACCTGTATTGCTTCTCTATTGCTTTAATCTCATTCTTCACTCTGTGTTATTTCAATTTCTATGATCGCCCTTCATTTCACGGGATCACTTATGAAGAAAGTCTGAAACTGCTTTAAAACCCTGGCCAAAATCAAGGAAGAGTAGCGCTTTATGTTGAATATTTTTTTTTATTGGCCACAAAATGACTTTTTAGAAATTATCTGGTAACTTTTGCGCAATCATCAGTTGCATTAACCAGCTTTTCTGTCTTGTAAGCATGTTGTCAGTGTGTAAGCAAAACTACTTTAGGCATGTCCTCCTTGATGTGTTTGCCTCTCAACTTTCAACAACACCGTTGCAAATTACAAGCAAAACTTTGCTGGGTTTGATTGCTTGACTTTTAAGCTGCTCCACGAAAAAGTTGAGTTCCTCGTTAGTTAACTTCTTTTTTTCCCCACCAAGCCCAGGCCTGAGTCGTATGTAGCCGAGAGGGACACGCCTCACAGGCCTGTAGGAACGGGTGAGAGAAATCCCAGCATTAGGGTAGAGGTAGACATCAAGCAGCCCTAGAGGCAGCTGACAGAGCTCCTAAGTTAGAATGTTTCACTGCCCTTTACAAAGTGATTTATCATGCAAATGCTGTCTTGAGAGGAATGGTTTTGTTGAATTTAAAGAAAATCCCAATATAAAATAAATAGTAACAACAAAGGTCTAGAGACAAATAATAGACAGCTTGCTCTTAAACTCCCCCACCCCAATGGGGCAGGGGGGGCTCTTTAGTTCACAGGGTCCTAACTGGTGACACTGCCTTTCACATGCTATACAAAATTATCAAGGATTATTTTTAGCACAATACTTTTGCTCATTATATAATAATTTATTACAATGTAGTTTGGTTATATTTGCCTCCAAGTGCCCTCCTTAACTCTTCCAGTACCCACCTCTCCACCAAGATCTTTACTAGCCACCAAATCAACTAGGAGAAGCCTTCGGCCCAAAGCTGGTGCCATGTTTGTTAATGTGCCGCAAAGTTAGTTCCACTATGTATCCATTAATTAGTTTGAAGTATTCGAAAAGTTTCTTTCCTTAAACCATCCAGACCTTAGTTGTGTCCTATCAGAATACCCAGTCTCTATTGTACACCAGAAGAGACCAGGAAACACCAATCCCTGACAAAGACTGTAGAGGAATTTAGGGGTGTCATTCCTCTTCTGGAAGAAGTGCTGCCTTTTGTGTTTTTTGTTAGAGGGCAAACAGTGTTGGTGCACCCAAACATCCAGGCTGCCATAATAATTATAACAACAATAAAGAACACTGACTGTTGGTGGTAGATAGTGGGTTGCAAGCCAGGGATGCTTGTTGGATCTGAAAACCCTAAAAACATGAGTAGTGACAAATCAATGTCCTTGGCTGAGGATCTGCTATGTTACCATGTTTTCTAATTCATTTATTAAAAAAACTCACCAGTATTTTGTGAGTTATTAAGGAAATAGGCAAAGATTACAGAATACTTGGTAATTTGTGATTTATTTAAAAAATATTTCTGATGGCAACAATCTTTTCCATAACTATTAGCTTATGACAGGGCCCAAGTAAAAAGTCTGAGGGACAATATGAAGGAAACATTTAAGTACAAGTTTAGATTCTACAGAAAATGTAACTTCCAATTGTTACATAGTAGAAAGATTTTTCTTGTTTTTCCGGTATTTATTCTACTTTGTTATTAGGTCTCTTTATATCAAGGACTGTTCTGATTTCTTGGGGTATCTCATGCTTGCTAACCACAACACTTAAATTCAACTTGCATCTGGGTTTAAAGTCGATTGGTAGAGCAAGTAAAATCAGATCTAAACAAACAAACAAAAACCAGGGAGATTACAGGAGTCTCCAAGAAATTCTAAAGATCCATAGGTTTCCATTTTTCTATTAATTGAACAAACAAAGCTCTTTTATATTCTTTTAAGTAAGCCACACAATTTTAACTGGTGGAATCTCTGAGAAGCTTCTAAATCTTCCAAATTTCTGCTCTATGCCTGTTACTTTTTCTGTAATTTCAAATGTTTGTAAATAAAACAAAGTATTCATCTCTGACATTAAGAAACTGTTCCTAAATACATTTAGTATTTTAAGAGAATCTTTACCTTATGGAATGCATAGTAAACGTTAATGCATGCTGTGACTATATACTAAGTGGAAAATATTAACAAATATTGGCATATTAAGAGTTGGATTTGTAAAACACATGTTCGGTCTTTGGGATTAGCAAGATCAGGGCTATCTCAAAAGAAAGGAAATAATTGGTGCTTTGCTGTATTCACTCAAACGACATTTTCAAACACTTGGAAGAAAAGGCAAATCCCGAAAGACCAATGAAAAGCTAACTATTGAAATGTTAACTATATAAAGCCCTTAGCTAATATTTTCCTTTTTAAAAGTTAGTGCCCACTGAAGAGGAAATTTATCGAAGGCAAATAAAGGCTTTTTCCCCCTGTTGAGGAGAGGGGAGGGGGAGGAGAAAGAGAGAAGAGGGAGGGACGGGTGACAAACGTAAAAGAAACTGGTGGCATTCAGTGGAGAAGGCAGGTAACGCTCTAGAGGCCGGTGAGTTGCTCAAATCAGCTGGGCTTTCCGCTCCGGAGCAGTTTTCTCTCCTCTTTGCTTTCTTCCTTAAACTTGTACTGGCCCGGGGTGGAGCGCAGCAGGAGGGAGCTTTTTCGCTGTTGGGAAGGCAGGTAGGAAAGGGAATCTGATCCGCCCCCAAAGGCAACAATTAAAGTCTTAACCTCTACCCATCTGTCGTGGGCTAGGGGCGTCCCGCCCCTGGCCTTTCCTTAAACTATTCGGGTCCCTCACCCTTTGTCTGATCAGGGTGAAGGGCCGAGGTTCTGAGGCCCCAAAAGGAAATCGAACGAACATTTCCAGTTGAGGGTAACTGAGCCCAAAAAAGGGCTCCACGACGCCTCCCGGGTTTTATGTAGCCTCCTCCTTTCTGTCCGAGGTGTCCTGCCCTGGACTCCGGCGCTTCTCGGCACCACCGGTCTTCCAGAAGCTGCCTGGGTACCTGAAATGAGACACTCCCGGGCCTAGCCACTAAGGCGGGCCTCCAACAGTCAGATTTTCCCACCATCTGGCTTTTTAGCCGCCGCACTTTTCTGCCGGCCCTTAATTTTTCAGCGATTTATTTCTCCAGTATCCACTCAACGGTCCCGCCTCACTGTCAGCCCTCAACAACCCGCTCTCTTCGTTTCCACCCCACTGGTTTTTCCTGGCAGTGGCTGAACCGGCTCACGCAAAGTCAGAGTGGGGCGAAAGAGCCTGGGTCCCTGGATTCGCATGGGCTAGAAAAGGGGTATGGAGGAAGAAATACTTGAAAGCCAATTGCCTCCATTTGAATCCCAGCTTGGCACCTTTGAGTAATTTGGCCTTGGGCTCAACAATCCCACCGCCCATTGCTGGCCCTTTCCAGGGTTCTCATCGGAGGACAGCACATCACACCCTTGGCCAGATACCTGGGCACCCGGTCCACACGTATTAGGGTAACTCACCAGGCGGGTGGTGCTTGGAGTTTGCCTCCAGGCGGTGAGGTTCAGGGCTCACAGCTCAGCGCTCCTTCGGGCGCTAGCTTGAGAACCGCGGGGTTCTCCTACCACCTGCAGCCCCAGGAGCGTGCCTAGCCCCTGGGCTCTGCTGCTTGCGACCGCGGGCTCTGCGCCGCCGACTGCGCCGGGGACAGAGCGCTGCTGCTCTCCGCTCGCTCGGCGGGAGCCGCGGGAACCCGCTCTGTGGGAGCCTCAGCCTCCGGCGTCTTCACCGAAGCCTCGCACAGCTCACGAAGTTCAACCCCGGGAATTTGGGCCCAGGCTTCAAAACCCGAGGGCTCCAGATGCCGGGGGGAGCGTGGAGGGCGTGGGGGGGCGCTCAGGGTCGCCGAGGGTTCTTTGGGGGCCATCAACGTGGCTGTGGTCACCACTCGGGCTTGAGGGGTGGCTCACTTCTCTGATCACCGACACACTAGGTGTCGCCGGCACTGCCTGCTGCTGAGAGGCATGCAGACACTGGCAGCCGGGGTGGGGATCATAGATTCTATTTCCCCTCTCGGCTCAACATTTCGAACGCTCTGCTCCGAAAGGGCTGTGGGAGCAAGTGCTTTGAAGAAATGCCTTTTGGGGGTTCTCTCTGGAAACTCAAGAAAGCGCGCTCTCGCGCGTGTTTGTGTGTAAGTCCGGTCCGCAGCTAGGTTTTTTTCTTTTCCTTTCTTTTCTTTTTCTTTTTGTGGTGTGACACCTGCTTATTCCTTGCAACTCCTCAACTTTGTGGTACTAGTGCGTCTTTCCAAGGACAATTGTCATGGGCATCGCTTTTTACAAAACCACAAACACATAACAAGCCTCCCAAGGCCTTTAAATCTCAGGGGCATTTTGGGAGGCCAGTTACCTGCTGGTGTCTTCCAAAGGGGCCCAGCGGCGCCGGGAGCCGTAGAGACTCCAGTTCAGGGAACAAGCAGCGCCCCCGGGTCCTAGAGGACAAAAGTGGGCTGCGTAGCAGGCAGCGTGGCCGGATCTGGGCTCAGCCGAACCAAGCAAAGGAACTTCGGATTTGCCGTCAGAGGCTTTCCTGGTCAAGGCTGTCTAGAGCCTGGCGTTTGATAAATATAGCCTGGCATTTGCCCCTGAATTAGACTCTGTTTCCTTATTTAGCCCTAGCACAATGATTTTAGATGATGTCACTTAGAGCTAAACGAGAAAATTGATCTCAGATTTGCTTGGCCTCTAAAGCCTGGTTAAGCAGATTGAGAATTAAAAAGACAGAGGAAGCAAGGGGGAGGGGTGGCCGAAGGGTAGAGAAGTGTGTGCGGACGAGTGCTTGCGTGGAGGGGAGGGCACGGCGCAATGCGGAGAGCGCCCCCGCCTCTTCTGGGCGGGGGAACCTCTCTCACCAATGAAAAGTAGTCACCGACTGCAGAGAAAAAAAAAGTTTTCCTGTTGACTGTTGGAAGCGAATTGAGCAATTATCTAGTTTACCTTCTCCTCTTGGAAGTTAACGATTGGCGAGATCTTGGCTGCGTTATTGACACAACACTTTCTATTGATAGAAATAAGTAGTGATTGTCCCCGAGTCATTGGTGCCCCAAGAACTCTGCGATGGGCTGGCAGGAGTCCATTGGGCTGGGCAGGCAGGGTCGGCTGGGGGGGCTTTCGGCTGGTGATGCTGGGGAGGAGGAGGAGGAGGCTGCTGGTGGTGACGGTGCCTGTCCTCTCCGCAGGTCTGTGACAAGCAGGGGACAAGGCAGCCACCGTGCAACCCAACCCCGGCGAACGGAAGCTGGCGACTCAGTCATGGACAGTAGCTGCCTCAACGCGACCACCAAAATGCTAGCGACTGCTCCAGCTCGGGGCAACGTGATGAACACATCCAAACCCTTGGCTTTCTCCATCGAACGAATCATGGCGCGGACCCCTGAGCCTAAGGCCCTGCCGGTCCCCCACTTCCTGCAGGGAGCCGTGTCCAAAGGAGACCCCAAGCACTCCCTGCATCTCAACCCGTCGATCCCCTGCATGATCCCTTTCGTCCCCGTGGCGTACGACACGAACTCCAAAGCCGGAGTGACTGGCTCCGAGCCCCGCAAGGCAAGTCTGGAGGCTCCGGTGCCGCCCGCGGTGGCGCCCTCCGCTCCGGCGTTCAGCTGCAGCGACCTGCTCAACTGTGCGCTAAGTCTCAAGGGCGACCTGGCCCGCGACGCGCTGCCCCTGCAGCAGTACAAGCTGGTAAGGCCGCGTGTGGTCAACCACTCTTCGTTCCACGCCATGGGCGCCCTGTGCTACCTGAACCGAGGTGATGGCCCGTGCCACCCAGCTGCGGGCGTGAACATCCACCCAGTGGCCTCCTACTTTCTCAGCTCCCCTTTGCACCCACAGCCAAAAACATATTTAGCCGAAAGGAATAAACTGGTTGTCCCGGCCGTGGAGAAGCTCCCTTCGGGTGTAGCTTTCAAAGACCTGTCCCAGGCGCAGCTGCAGCATTACATGAAAGAAAGCGCCCAACTTTTGTCAGAAAAAATCGCATTCAAAACCTCAGATTTCAGCCGCGGCTCTCCTAATGCCAAACCCAAAGTTTTCACTTGTGAAGTCTGTGGAAAGGTAAGTATTATGCAAAGAGAAGTTCCTTCCTTCCTTCCTTCCTTCCTTCCTTCCTTCCTTCCTTCCTTCCTTTCCTTTCCTTCCTTCCTTCCTTCCTTTATTTCCTTCCTTCCTTCCTTCCTTTCCTTCCTTCCTCCCTTCCTTCCCTTTTCCTTTCCTTCTTTCTTTTCTTTCTCCCTCCCTTGCTTCCGTTTTAGCATTTGAAGACTAGGGATAAAACCTTATTTTGCTTCCCTTCCTCCCTCTGTCCACTCGGAACTCAAATCTCTTGTCCAGCTAACCTGCTTTCTACGTGTTTAATTTTAAGGTCTTTAATGCGCACTATAACTTAACCCGTCACATGCCGGTGCACACAGGAGCCAGACCCTTCGTTTGCAAAGTGTGTGGAAAAGGTTTCCGGCAGGCCAGCACCCTTTGCAGGCATAAGATCATTCACACGCAGGTATGTTCCTCTGTCACAGTTTTTCCGGGAGATTTCGGAACTGTTTGCTGTCCCCCTCCCCGCTCCAAAGGAAAGAACAAAACAAAACAAAACAAAACAAAAAATCCAAAAAAAAAAAAAAAAAAAAAAAGGCCCAAAAAAAAAAAAAAAAAAAAAACCAAAAAAAAAAAAAAAAAAAAAAAGGTCCATAGCATAACGATCTGTTGAGCTGTTCTGGCTGGACTAGGGAGATGTCTTGTTGCCTTTGTTCTGCTTCAAACCTTCAGGGTGTTCGTGGATTGTGATGCTAGGACTCCACATCATAACCAAGTCCCTTAAATTAAATCCTCTGTTCTCTTTCTCTCTGCTGCTTAGGAAAAACCTCACAAGTGCAACCAGTGCGGTAAAGCGTTTAATAGAAGTTCCACGTTAAACACGCACACCCGGATTCACGCGGGCTACAAACCGTTCGTGTGTGAATTCTGTGGCAAAGGATTTCATCAAAAAGGTATTGAACCCAGGAGATGTCTTGTCATAGTGAGTCTTAGGAAAGCCATACAGAATATTCTTAGGATATATAATGACCTGTAAGTGTAACTGCCTACCTGATGAAGGCTGCCTTCTGACGCCCTACCCACTGTCAGATATATCAAAGGGTGCTTCTTTACAACCTCCAGTTTTCGTTTGGTATATCTGGATAGATGACGGTGTATTGATATGTAGAAGAAATAAACTCGGTGTGCTTAAACATAAACTTAGGAGAATCAGTGCCCGGCACCCTGGGTCAGAACCGTGATGGCTCTTCAGCCTGTCCTCTTACCTTTTATGCATCTTCTATGTTCTTTTCAAGCTCTATTCAGAACCTTATCCCCCGCCATTTTCCCCCGTTTCAGGGAACTACAAAAACCACAAGCTGACCCACAGCGGGGAGAAGCAGTTCAAGTGCAACATCTGCAACAAGGCCTTCCACCAGGTGTACAATCTCACTTTCCACATGCACACTCACAATGACAAGAAGCCCTTCACCTGCCCCACGTGCGGCAAGGGCTTCTGCAGGAACTTTGATCTCAAGAAGCACGTTCGCAAGCTGCACGACAGCAGCCTGGGGCTCACACGCACTCCTACCGGGGAGCCAGGCAGCGATCCACCGCCCCAGCTGCAACAGCCGCCGCCTGCACCTCTGCCGCCACTGCAGCCTGCGTTGCAGCCTCCCGGGCCTCTGCAGCCCGGGCTTCACCAAGGCCACCAGTGATGGAGGCCAAAGATCCCCCACAATCCCAGCGGGAGGGCCCCCACTGCGGAGGTCGGCAGACTAGGGCGGACCTTTTGGTCTAGGCTGGCCTGCAGAAACCGAGGCACGTTGGGCCCCTCACTTTCTGGCGGACCAGAAGCCTCTACGTTCCTCGGCCTTTCGCCTCTTGCATGCACCTGCTAAATGATTTTGTGTATTATATTCTATATAGGCACTAACAATTATGATACATTTGGAGGGGCTTATTTCCATTTTTTTAAGTTGAAAAGACTTCATCTCGGGTGGAGAGATGATTTTTGTTTTGTTCTTAAACAAATATCTGCTGTATTTATTGAGATCTGTATTATTCTACCCGGGAATGCTGCACCATTTTAATTTTATTATTGTATATATTTCCATTGTGTTGCTTCTGCTGTCTTAAAATGCCTGCTGATTGTTCATAATTTTCTCCTTCCCTGAAGCAAAAACACAGTGTGTATGTTCTATATACACACAGATGTGTGTGTCTGTGAAGGCACGTTCAACGTTTGTGAGCACATGCACACACATACACACACATACACGTTAGATAAGAGTGGTTCATAATGAATGAATTTGAATTTTGGTTATCATTCTTGCACGTCGAAAGCTGATTCATTGACTGTTGGAAATAAATACTTGGAACATGCTTATTTAATCAACAAACTTCAAGACTTAGTATTATTCGTCTAAAGATCCCTGGCTCTGACTTTCTCAGCCTTACTCATATTTTTCTTTAAATTAATAATGTCTACTAATTTGATCTGAATATTTACCATATGTCCTTATGCTTTGGGCAAGGTGAAACTCTGAGGCCGAAGATGTGTGTCTCACAGAAACACGATTCTGTCATGGATCTTCTGGTAGATTTGTGGTCAAAAGCTGGGGACATTGTATCTAGAGGCCTTGTTATGTGCATTTCCACCATTCTGAAGGCACATACTGACTGGTACACAGCTGGCAAAGAGAGCCTCTGTGTTTTTAGATGCGTGCACATGTTTACAGCCCAGTATACTTCCATTCAAGGAGGAGACATGGATGAAAACCAAACCGTGGCGGGTGCCAGGTCCTTGAAACGCTTTAAGTGTTAATCAGCAGCTCCGCTGTGCGCTGGAGCTCTGGTGTTTTCTAACTGCAAGTCTCTCCTGTTTTCTTGCCAAAACAGTGAAACAACTGCTAAAGACTTTAATTAAGAGGGGTAATTAGTTCAGATTTATCAAAGCCGGGTTGTTATACTATTAGCTGCTCAGTAGAAGCTGCCAGACAAACTCATGGCCCTGCATAAGAAATCCTACGGTAGCCGGCCACGTCCTGGGGGTGAGGCTGCTGGGGTTTGGAGGGTAGGGTAGCTATGGTCACAGTCCCGGGAGTCACAGACCCCTTGCCAGGGAATGGGTGCGTGAGTCTCTCTCCACACAGGCGCTGCGACCTGGGCTGGGTGTCCAGAGAATCCACTCAGTTTCCACACGGCAGCCCCAGTCTCTTGAGAGTCAGGCGTTTTCTTCTGCCTGGAGCAGGGTGACTTTGTCAGTCCAGGGTCACCCCACAGTTTCTGGGTAGCATTCGTGCCTCGCTTTTGATGGTCATATGGCATACAAGAAAAGGGCGGGTCGGTGGAGCGACAGGCTATGGTCAGGTGGCAAACAAGTTGAGGGTCACTGCAGAGGCGCCTCGTCAACTTTCTAGTTACTAGAATTCCCACTTTAATCAAGGCGGTGAAGGGCACACTGTTCTGGGTGCCAAGAATGGGCTAGGACCTGGAAGGTGACAAAGGCGCCTGCGGATGTTCTCAGCGGAGGGGGTGTGAGAGTCCCACTGGGACTCACAAACGACACCCTGCCTGGGAGGGGGAAGTGCTGGAGACAGCTGAAGCCACGGGGTTCCGGAAAAGGGCTTCGAGGTTTAAGGCTTGGTCCAGGTTCCCAGGGTTTGCCCAGTGGGCACATCCAATGCAAGTACGAACAAGTCAACATCATGAGATCAAATCTGGACACTTACCTTCCCCAATTCTTCACACCCCCACTTTGTTCTTTGTCAACAGACATTCGACCCATGTCAGAATTGACATGGGGAAAGCGTGAGAACTCCAGAAGGGGTGGGTGTCATTATGAATATGGCATCTGACTTGTTCTTCTGCTTCCCAACGCTGACCACATCCCCTTATAGTTGCCAGTGCAGCCGAGAGTGTGTTGAGAAATGTCTCCTAGGTGACAGGCAACTGCCTTTTCAAAGTGGCTTCCTTGGATCCTGAAAGCATTTGCCCCTGTGAGGATGAAGAGTGAGATCAGAGGTCGTTATAACTCGTAATGTATATATTTTAAGTTCGAGGGCAGAATAGAGCCTTTGCTTCTTGAACTTATCCTCAATTATCATCCAAACTTATTCTCAAAACTTAGGGTGAAACGTCCTTTAGACATGCAAGGTGATGCCATTGTTATGTGGTGGAAAACCAAATGAACATTGTTGGGGAAAGTACCTAAAGCATAGAGTACTTCTCATTAGGAGGCATTTATATGTGCATTTCCATCTACTAACCCTTGCCAATATGCTTTGATATACTAAATAAAGACGTCTCTCACCAAGGAAATGAATTGGTTTGGGATGTTGAAAGAAGAAAGGGTAGGGAGAGGAAGCAGGGGTCGAGCAAGGAGAGGGGAAGGAGAGGTAGGGTTACAGGGAGAGCACATTCAGGCTAGGTTCTATAGGGATCTATAGCCTGGAATGACTTTGGCTAAGGTTGGCTGTGGATGCTGCAGTATTTCCAGGGAGGTTTGCATGGGTTTGGGGGTGGTGGTGGTGGTTGTTTTTTGCTAACAGGTTTGAGCAGGCTGGAGTGTTGGTGATTACACAGAGGAGGCCAAAAGAAAATTCTCCAAGGGAAATTCTCTAAAACTAAGCACTCACAAGAAGCACTTGTCAGGAGATCAGTGAACTTTGATTTCTGACAAAGCTCTCTGAGATTGCTGTAATCAAGGAGTAGCCCTTAAAGATAGTATGAGCTCAGGGATTAAGTTTGTGGGGGGATTGGTAAAGTGGGACACTTAACCCGATAGTCAATGGGAGACCTTACAGTTCTGTTTCTGGGAAATATTGAAAGGTTTTCCTTCTCTTGACTAGCTAACTTCTATCAATTTCAGCATACATAGATTTTAATACCTGCTCATAGAACACAAACCCTAATACATATGTGCAATAAAATTTGGCTTTATTAACATCCATCTTCATTAGGTTTCATATTAGCCAGCAAATTCTTTCATATTTTCTGAAGGCTAAAGCCAGTGCTCAGATTTTAAACAAAAAATGGCTTCTCTTCAACTTGGTCTAGAGGAAGACTGTCTAGACAGATGCTGGGGTGACTTTCTGAAAGTTATGGTCCACTGGAGCTATATGTTTTTGGAAATCAAAATATTATAAAACAGAATCAACAATGTAAGTAATTAAATCCTACCTACCTCATATAGAACCCAAACAATTTCTCCAGGCTTCCAAAAGTATAACTTTTGAACAAGTTTCTCGGCAAAACTGGGACTAAGCAGTCACATTTGGTGATAAGTAAAACCATTGCTTGAGGATCTTATCAAAGTCATTGCTTGTTAGTGAGTGATATTTGAAGGTTAGTTTCCTACAGAAATGTGGGGAAAGAGCTGGGCATGGAGATGCACACCCTTAATCCCAGCGCTAGGCAAGCAGAAGTAGGTAGATGTCCTCTTCTATGTGAGTTCTAGTTCAGCCTGGTCTCTATAGAGAATTCAAAGTTGGTCAGGGATACAGAGTGAGAACCTGCCTCAAACAAACAACAAAAAGTAGAAAAAACTAATCTACTGGGTAGCACAGTCTTCATTTCTAGACTCTGAGCATCTTGCTTGATAGATTCCCCTTCATATTAGTGGCAGTTATGTAAGGCATTTTAATTTTGCTAGGACTGGCAACAACTGAAAGACCTGACTAGTATATAGCTGTAACCGGCCTGTTTTGTGTTTGTAAAAGTACCACAAAACATGCAATTATAAGATATAAATGATCTCAAATCCAAAATTGAGGCAGACAGGAAAATAAGGTTTTCTTTCTCACTTTATACACTCTTCTTTTGGATAAATTTATTTATTTTTTGTGTGTGAGGTTTGCTTTGAGGCACAGTTACTTGCTGTTACCAGAGTGCATTGGAAAGACCCTGAACCTGATAAAATATTTTTTCTTTTCTTCTTCTTCTTCTTCTTCTTCTTCTTCTTCTTCTTCTTTCTTTTTTGCTATGCTTTGCTGAAATGAGATTGCTTTCTGTTCTGGGTAGTTTTATGTCAACTTAACACAAGCTAAAATGTTCTGAGAAGAGGGAACTTCAATTAAGAAAATGCCTCCACAAGACTTGCTGCAGACAAACCTGTAGGGCATTTTCCTAATTAGTGATTGATGGGCGAGGGCACAGTCCATTATGGGTGGTGCCATCCCTGGGCAGGTGGTCCTGGGTACTATAAGAAAGTGGAATGAGGCCTTTAATCCCAGCACTTGGGGAGGCAGAGGCAGGCGGATCTCTCTGAGTTTGAGGCCAGCCTGGTCTCCGGAGTGAGTGCCAGGGTAGTCTCCAAACCTACACAGAGAAACCCTGTCTGGAAAAACAAAAAACAAAAAACAAACAAACAAAAAAAAAACAAACAAAAAAAAGGAATGAGCAAGCCATGGGGAGAAAGCCAGTAATCAACACTCCTCCATGTCCTCTGCATCAGCTCCTGATTTCAGGTTCCTGCCTTGTTTGAGTTTATGTTATGGCTTCCTTAATAAAGGACTACAACGTGGAAGTATAAGAAAAAAATAATTATTCCACAACTTGCTTTTTGGTTGTTTTGCTACAGCAATAGAAATCCTAATTAAGTCACTTTGCCATAAGAAGTTATTAGATTAGTTAAACATTGAAAATAAACTATTTGTAAGTAGAGACACTTTGCTATGAATTTCACTGCTTTTTAGGAATTAATGCATATGTCTATTGCAGCTACAGAGCAAAGCAAAAATGAATGACAATATGCTAATGGACACACCTGTCACCTGGATTTGTGATGACTCCAAAATTGCCAGTTTCAGCCAGTGTAGGGCATCTCACTTCACTCAATAGGACAGAAGAATTCGGATATCTGTATGACGTTGCTGGGGGGAAAATCCTTCTATTGTAATATTTGTCTGCACTTTTATGACATGTTATAATGGGGTCTGAGGAAAAGTCAAAATTCATCATGCCACTGCACAGGAACAAAGTAATCTCGAATAACCAAGTACAGTTTCTGTTCAAGACCGAGGTAGGATTCCTGTCAAATAGAAGCTTTAATCTTAGCCAGGCTAAATTACTAAATAAATGGAACAAAATTCTTGATACAAGTCTCCTGACTTAATACTTCCCTGTCAAACAACCAAATGTTATTCATGGGTGCAGGAAGAGGGCACAGCAGGCTCCTGACAGGAACTGGACACCTATCTGGGATCGAAGAGGAGCCATCAAGTGTTCTGAGTCTGTTCCTCACAGGAATAACAGACATTTTTTCCTCATAGAGATTTGAAAGTTCAGTCCAATGTGTGGCCTTCCAGGCATAATAACAAGTATGGTGACATCTTTTGATGGCTCAGAAAAAAAAAAAAAGAGCTTTATTCATCAAATGGGAACCAAAACCAGAG